TACATCCCTGTCAGTCCCCAGTAGCATCCACTCCTGGACCTGTTGTCCATAAATTTGTCTCTGAAGCAACTTTGTGAAAAAGGACTACCTGGGATCTCTTTAAAATTGATCACCTGATGTCTTCTTCCTAGCTCTTAACTGTGGGATAAGGCAGACAGCTTTAATCCCCTGCCCCATTACAGCCTAAATTACAAGGGACTCCTTCTCTGGTATCTCCTCTACAAATCACCTTCCTTTCTAGCCTTGCTCATGACCATGCTTGATATTGAAAAGCAGAAATCCCACAGCAGCACTGTCTCATGGCCGTTTTGGAGACGTTGGACTCTACCATGGGAAAACAACATCAGCCCTGTGGGTCACTGCAGCCTACGGGACAGGGGAACCGTGCAAAGCTGCTGCTGTTTCTATTTAAAAAGTCCTGTCCAAAGAGCCTGGCAGAGGGCAGGGTTTGGTTTCACTTGCTTTCGTAGGACTAAAGCACTCCTGTAATATATAATCGAGTGAATTAGTAACACTGCTTTACAAAAGCCAGACCAACCGACCACAGCGGCCATAAAATGTCTGGGCATGCGTAGTGTACCACAGGGCTGGCTGTAGGACTCCCAATACCAGGCAGATTTACTTCAGTAACTCCCCCAAACCCAGCTCAGATGCAATAAATCCCTGCCTGCTTTGTCGAGCTGTGTCGGATCAGACCCCTATGATGTGATTTATTACGATTATTTTTAATTAAAGTATCTCATAGCGCGGTAGATCCACACCCTGCTAAACCCAAGGCTCGCCGTCCCCAGGGACCGTGCCCACGCTTGAAGCAGCTGGCGATGAAAGGAGCAAAAGTTTTGCCCTGCAGAAAGTAAAAATAAATAAATAAATAAAAAGCCGGCTGGCTGGAGGGGAGGAGCTGGGCTGAGCAGTGGATGTGTCTTGGCAGCTGGGCCCTCTCATTATGGGAGCAGAGAAGACGGAAGAAGGCAACTCCCAGCATCGCTCCCCCCTTTCCCGGTCCTCTCCCACCCCAGCGCCGTCAGATCTCCTACGTGGCACTGTGGGGGCTGGGAGAGCCGAAAACGTCCGACTGTGCTTGGATATCACTCGATGGAGAGAGAAATCTGCCCCCCCGCCAAGCAGATTGGCCCCATTCCCAGCACTTTTGCCCTGGAAAATATATTCCCCATCGCGATCGAGCTGGGTGCAGATATTTTGGTTGAACGAGCTCGTTTTCTGCATGTTCACATCCTAAAGCCCTGCAGATTTGCTGTGGTTAGCTTAGAGGAATGCAGCTGGGAATGTGCTGGCTGGGGACATAAATTAGTAAGGCAATAGGGGAAAATACATTAAAAAATCAGGCAAAAATTGAAACTTCTCGGTGCTGGGCTGCCTGTCCTCAGACACATGAACTGTTTTTAATCAACTCTAAATTCCCCTTATCGAGGCAAGTCCGTTTAAAAGGACTGAAGTACAGAGCCCTGTCCTTCTGTTGAAATAATTTGGTGCTGGGAGGCATTGAAAGAGACTAAAAGTTTTAGAAAAAAAATGGGAAGAATTAAAAAAAAAAAAAAAAATCATGAAAAGTTTTAGAATGTATTTTACATTTCACTGGGAAGAATTAAAAAAATAAAACAAAATAAAATCTCACCTGGGAAGTAATTATTAGAAGGGTTTGGAGGTGGAGCAAATCAAAGCTTGGCAGGGAAAGCTGGCTGACACGGGAGGTTTAAAGGAGCTCTTCTCATTTCTCAGCTGGCGCGTGCTGCTGGTACAGACCAGCACCACTTCACCTGGGCACCGACTGTTTGCAAGCAGGAAATTCATTTTTTATTTATTTATTTATTTATTTTTGCTCCATGGCAACACGGTAATAAAGCAAAGACTGCGCTGTAAAAACCCTGGGGCTGAATTTTGATCACTTTGGTCCCACTGAAGGCAAGAAAATTGCTCCAAATGTACGCTAGCATGTAAGGACATGATGCTCAAGGTACCACAGAAATCTTTCCCCCTCTAAATCCCTCTGAGCATCACCACTTGCTCTGAAATGATGGGCATGATCTCTGCTAATTAGGACCATTTCGGCATCCTATCATTAAAGACCTCAGCCTCAGGTACCTGCTTGGATGAAAAACACCCAGGGAAGGCATCAGCTGGAAGCACATTTTCCTCAAGCATTTCTTTCTCCAACATGCCACTGAAATGGAATTTATTTCTATAAATAAAAACCTCAGATAACACCAGGAGATGTTATGACTTCCTGCTTGGCACCCAAAGGTCACCCAACAAGTGAGCCCCTTGGCACGCTTCCCAAACGTCACCGTGCAGATCAGTTTGGCTGTGCTAAATGCTGCTGAGAGTGGATGAATGGGACAATCTTCCTCACAGCCAGCAGCAAACTCATTTTTTTGTCTCATTATTAGTGCTCCAGGAGCTGGCGTATTGCTGCTGGTGGGAATATTTGTGTAGGAAAGACTCCAAGACCTCACCTTCCTTGTGGTGGGGAGTAAATACTCACATAGCATCATCTGAATGGTTTAGACAGAACAAAAATATCACAAATATCACAAATATCACATCAAGCAAGCAGGCGATCAGGCCCAGTCAGCATGGGTTTATGGAAGGCAGGTCCTGCTTGACGAACCTGATCTCCTTCTACGACAAAGTGACACGCTGGGTGGACGAGGGAAAGGCTATGGATGTGGTCTACCTTGACTTCAACAAGGCTTTTGACACCGTCTCCCACAGCATTCTCCTCAAGAAACTGGCTGCTCTTGGCTTGGACTGGTGCACGCTTCGTTGGGTTAGAAACTGGCTGGATAGCCGGGCCCAAAGAGTCGTGGTAAATGGAGTCCAAGTCCAGTTGGAGGCCAGTCACTAGTGGCGTCCCCCAGGGCTCGGTGCTGGGGCCGGTCCTCTTTAACATCTTCATCAATGATCTGGACGAGGGCATTGAGTGCACCCTCAGTAAGTTTGCAGATGACACCAAGCTAGTGCGCATGTGTCGATCTGCTCGAGGGTAGAAAGCTCTGCAGGAGGATCTGGATAGGCTGCACTGATGGGCTGAGGTCAACTGCATGAAGTTCAACAAGGCCAAGTGCCGGGTCCTGCACCTGGGGCGCAATAACCCCAAGCAGAGCTACAGGCTGGGAGATGAGTGGTTGGAGAGCTGCCAGGCAGAGAAGGACCTGGGAGTGATGGTGGACAGTCGGCTGAATATGAGCCAGCAGTGTGCTCAGGTGGCCAAGAAGGCCAACGGCATCCTGGCTTGTGTCAGAAACACTGTGACCAGCAGGGCTAGGGAGGTGATCGTCCCCCTGTACTCGGCTCTGGTGAGGCCGCACCTCGAGTACTGTGTTCAGTTTTGGGCCCCTCGCTACAAGAAGGACATCGAGGTGCTTGAGCGGGTCCAAAGAAGGGCGACGAAGCTGGTGAGGGGCCTGGAGAACAAGTCCTACGAGGAGCGGCTGAGGGAGCTGGGCTTGTTCAGCCTGGAGAAGAGGAGGCTCAGGGGCGACCTTATCGCTCTCTACAGATACCTTAAAGGAGGCTGTAGCGAGGTGGGGGTTGGCCTGTTCTCCCACGTGCCTGGTGACAGGACGAGGGGGAAGGGGCTTAAGTTGCACCAGGGGAGTTTTAGGTTAGGTGTTAGGAAGAACTTTCTTTACTGAAAGGGTTGTGAGGCACTGGAACAGGCTGCCCAGGGAAGGTGGTGGAGTCACCATCCCTGGAAGCCTTTAAAAGACGTTTAGATGTAGAGCTTAGGGATATGGTTTAGTGGGGATTGTTAGCGTTAGGTAAAGGTTGGACTCGATGATCTTGAGGTCTCTTCCAACCTAGAAATTCTGTGATTCTGTGATTCTGTGATTCAAATATCACTAGAATTGGGGGAGCAATAGTGCGTGGTGGGGTGGCAGGTGGGCTGATCTCGGTGCTTGCAGGGCAACAGCTCAGGGGTGAGAGCACAATATTCAGGCTAGACCAGGGGCTGTTTTCTACCCCAGCATCAAGAGGTAGCGATGTGCTGAGACCCCTGCCTCCTAAGGGGAACCTGCAGAGCCAAAACCAGCATTAAGAGAGGACAAAATGAATTCAGAGGTGATTTGAAGTAAGGGAAGAAGCTCACCAACGCAGTGCAGCATCCTTCTAATGTGGTCACCATTGAGCACGGTGCTTAATTACTGGGTAGTACCTGGAAAATGTCCCGAAGGGGCTGCCAGATTGCCATAAAAAAACATCCCAAACCAGCTTAAAATGTGACAGGGGTGAAGCCGACTGGAGTTCACCACCTGTGAGTCAGCACAGAAACTTCTCTACGGCACAGTCTTTGCTGCAGGCGCTCTCAGCCAGGCGCACACAGGCACCACGAATATTTAACTCCTTCAGCATCACTTTGGGGCTGCGAATATTTGCTGCCATAACACAGACCGAAGGTGAGACTTTTCTAAATTGTGGAAATTTGCTGGAGACGAGGACTTTGCCACCGTACTACAAGGAACAACCACCCACTAACCTCACACCTATGGGTTGGGAAGTGCAGAGGATGTGATGGGTGGAAGAGGTTCAGCACCGAGAGGGGGAAAGGGAGAGGGGGGAAAAAGGAGAGAGGGCGTTATGCAGGAGGGGAAAGGGCTGGCAAAGCAGTGCCTGTGGAATCTGGTAAGAGAAGGAAGTCCTTTTGGGGACTTTTGGGGACACCTCGGATGGCGAGCGGTGGCTCTGAAGTGATGCAGCCGTGAAACCTTTTGCTGCCCGTGGGCACGGCTGGTGCACGGGGTAGGGCACTTTATATAATCAATTTCAATTACACAAAGGATGACACCCTGAAAATAAATAAATAAATAAATAAAAGGTCAAAGAAAAGCAACGATACCCTACCAAAAAAAATAAAAAAGCCATCAACCCCACTCCTCCTGCACCACCGACCACCCAGCCCCCTCCATTTGCAGCAGCAGGGCTGAGCGCTCTCTGCTATTGGAGGGAGGCCGGGAGAGCTCTTCGGATCCTCCCCTTCCTCTCCCTCCCCAGGCGTTTTTTTTTCCTTTTTTTTTTTTTAGTTTGGGAGAGGTTTTTCCCAACTTTCCAGAAGTTTCTCCCCGGCCCCTTATATACCCTCCGCCCGCCCAGGAGGTGCACAAGGGGAGAAGAGCAAAAGCAGCAGCCCCATTCCTCAGGTAAGGGGAGGGGGGACCCCTTTGAGACCCCCCTTGGGACCCCCACTCCCAAAGGGATCAGATGTGCCAAGCTGAGATTGCAGGCCCTTAGTTTGGGGTGTTGCATGCTCCCCAAAATATGGGTGGGATTTTTTTTTGGGGGGGAGAAGAGGAGGAAAGGAAGAAAATGGGGGTTGTTGCATGGAGGTGTTGTGGGTTTTTTTTTGGGGGGGGGTATGTGTAGGGCAACCCAAAAGCCAGCTCTGTTTTGCCAAAGGAAGGGAGTTAAAAGGTTTGCTGAGAGCGATGGCAGAGCAGCTGCAACCCCGGAGAAACTTTGCGAGGGTGGAAGAAGGGAAGAAGGGAAAAGCGCTGGGCTGGAAAAATTCGCGAGCTCCTGCGCCTGCCCAGCCTGGGAGCCTTGGGGACCCTGGACACCAGCCCAGCGTAGGAGGGCGAGCTCTCAGCCTCCCCACGACAATCCCGATGAGCCCCATCCCTTTGCCTGCCTTCCCAAAGCATCACCTCCTTCTGCCAACACACGGAGATGGCTTTTGCTCGAAGTCCTGCGGCTTCACCGGGGTGACAGCGTGGTCCTGGAGGGGCTACGGGTGCTGGCACCTCCAAATCCTGCCCGGAGAATGGGTCCCCGTGAGGTCTACGGGATGCCACGCTGGCACGGGGCGTCCCCTCACAGGGCTGGGATGTTCAGCCCCCGCAAGGATGCTATCGCCTGCACATTCCTCCCGTGGCATCCGGACCTATTTTCACCCCGGGTTACGAATTCAGCGATAATCTCACCCTTCCTCCAAGGATGGGCAACATTTTTCTGTCTCGCCGCAGCGAGCTGAGGCACTGCTCATCACAGCCCGGTTGCCAGGTCAAAATTTTTTGCCGGTCTCTGAAGTCACGGAGCTTTTTTAGGCTGAGGATGTAAGCAGCATGGGCCGTGGGTTGCTTGCGGGAGAACTGCTCCGTGTATCTGTTTTCTTTCAGAGGGAAAAAGGCAAGCGTTGACCTCCCTATGAAACAGTTTCAAGGTATTTTTAGAAATAAAAGGGGAAAGAAAAAAAAAAGAGATAAAAGAAAACCCCTCAGCTTTTAAATGCTTGGTGCACCTAACACTATTTTTACCTTAAAGTGCACCAGGGGAAGCTCTGAGCCCTCTGCACACATTTTTTGGCTCTGAGTCAGCCGTGACAGCGCTTCCCTTCAACGGAAGGCTTGCTCCCAAAAGGGCTTTGGGATATAAATTGCCTCCCCGTCTGGAGCTACGTAACTCCCACTCTGGCAAGAGGTCCCCGGTGGAACTGCGCACTCGCTTTGCTCGGGGCTGTGTGCGTGCGTGCTTCCTTCCATATGTAATCCCGGCGGGCCCTTCGCTTCCTCCGCTGCTTGCTTTTAACCCGTTGCAGTTCTCCTCTCCGTGGACCCTGGGCAGGGTGGGGGGACAGGACCACAGCCCCAGTATCCTTGGGGATGAGGGATCCTGCTGGAAAAGCTCGCTTGGGGTTGCAAATATGTTTGCGACCTCAGCAAGGTTGCAAATATATACGCTCAGCAGAGGGGGAGCCCAAGCAACCCACTTGGAGCAAATGTTCGCATTTTAGTTCCAACTTTTAATGAGCATTTAGGACCAGTCAATCTTTAACTTCATCTAAAAACCCTACAGTGGCTCAGAGGCCTCACCGGGCCTGGCTATGCTTGAGTTGTGCTGAGATGCTTCAGCAACGCGTGTGCATTAGAGGAAGGGGGAAAGGAGGGGATTCGCCACCTCCCTTTGTCCCCCTACTTCTCTGATAGAGCTGAACAGGCAAAACTGAGTCAGCCGGAGCTGCCGGGCCAGCCTTGGAGCTGCTCGGAGGGCCCCTTTGATTTGGAAGCTCCTGTGCTCCACCTAGTGCCTAAAATGCAGGGTGCTGAGCTAGGGTCCCCAGGAGGGACAATCCTGCCACACACTGACCCTGATAACCCCAGGATGGACCATCTACCTGGCCCTTGGGCAGGAGAAACATCCCAATTTTACCTTTTCCTGACCGATGCAGAGGTTCAACTTGAAACTCTACGGGAGAAATAGCTGTCGCTCCCATCCCCTGGCCCTTCCTTAAGTCATGTACTGTACACAAACATGAAGTAATACAGCAAAATTTGCTTAAAAAGGAAGCTTTCATTCAAAAAAAATGCACAGCTCTCACAAAAAAAAAAAGAGCACAGCCTGGACTCTGCTGCTCGGGGGAAGGCCCAACGTGGACTTGGGATCGTTGCAACCCAAGCATAGCGTTGACGTGGGCGCTCTGGCAGTCGCTGGAAATTAGGAGTGGATTTCACTGATGAGCCCTTGGGGCCTCTGAAGGCCCTAGGAAGGGTTTGGGACATCCTAACGGTGAACTCTTCTTGCCCAGCAGGTCCCCAGGAGTGTTGGGTGCTGCCAAAACCATGTGGATTATCGTGGTGCTCGCCCTCTGCGGCCTAGCCATGGCCGTGCCCTCAGAGGACAGAAAGTTGAGCGACAAAGCCACGACACTGGCCGACCGCAGCACCACGCTGGCCTTCAACCTCTACCACGCCATGGCGAAGGACAAGGACATGGAGAACATCCTGCTGTCCCCCGTGGTGGTGGCCTCTTCCCTGGGCCTCGTGTCCCTCGGGGGCAAGGCCGCCACCGCCTCCCAGGCCAAGGCGGTGCTGAGCGCCGACAAGCTGAACGACGACTACGTGCACAGCGGGCTGTCGGAGCTCCTCAACGAGGTGAGCAACAGCACGGCCCGCAACGTCACCTGGAAGATCGGCAACCGCTTGTACGGCCCGGCCTCCATCAACTTCGCCGACGACTTCGTGAAGAACAGCAAGAAGCACTACAACTACGAGCACTCCAAGATCAACTTCCGAGACAAGAGGAGCGCCCTGAAGTCCATTAATGAGTGGGCGGCCCAGACCACGGATGGGAAGCTGCCAGAGGTCACAAAAGATGTTGAGAAAACTGATGGGGCCCTCATCGTCAATGCCATGTTCTTCAAGCGTAAGTTCTTCCATCAGTTATTGACCCAAAACCCAGCGTGAGCCCATATAAAGCAGCCTAAGTGGGAAGATAAATTGTGGGTCCACGGGAGGCCTACTGTTTTTTGTAGTTAGGAACCAAGCATGAAATTACCACTTTTTTTTTTCTCACATGCTGATTTTCTCTCTCCTGTAGCTCACTGGGATGAAAAGTTCCACCATAAGATGGTGGACAACCGTGGTTTCATGGTGTCCCGGTCCTACACCGTGGGTGTTCCTATGATGCATCGCACGGGTAAGCTGCAAACCTCCTGCCCCTTGCCAAGACCTAGAATTATAGAATAACCCGAGTTGGAAGGGACCCACAAGGATCATTGAATCCAACTCTTAACCTGCTGGATGCTCACTGCTGCTCAGTTTTCTACCAGCTGCTTCCAAGATCATTTTGCTCCATGGGAAGCGAGTGAGAAAAAACTAAACAGGGTGTGCTTGCTCTGTTGATTCAGTCTTTGTGAGCAGGAAGAATCCGGATTTGCTACTGGGTGCTTGGCTATTAGGAATAAATGCTAGTTCATCACACGAATGGCATCCATGATTTTGGGCTGTTGCCAGCTCCAGTAATTCCCAAAATAGCACTGATTTTCTTCCCTTGCTTGGCAGGGCAAGTCCAGGGTGAATTGGCAAAAAGGTCGGGGGTACCTCTGCTCTTCCTCTGCTCTCCATCTCACCGTTTCCTACCTCTGATTTCAACTTCAAGGTCTCTACAACTACTACGATGACGAGACGGAGAAGCTGCAGGTGGTAGAGATGCCACTTGCTCACAAACTCTCCAGCATGATCTTCATCATGCCAAACCACGTGGAGCCCCTGGAGAGGGTCGAGAAACTGCTGAACAGGGAACAGCTGAAGACCTGGGCTGGCAAGATGAAGAAGAGATCTGTGGCCATCTCGCTGCCTAAAGTCGTCCTGGAAGTCAGCCATGACCTTCAGGTAAAGGACGTCCTTGAAGAAGGCAGTTAAGCCTTGCATTTTTTGGGGGTGGGAGAGAAAACAGTAGGATAATGGGGTACTCGTGCTGGGCAGCTTTATTTCCATCAACTGGCGTGACAATGGAGGGAAGAGATCGCTCTGTGTCCTCTCCGGGAGGGTTGCTGACCTCTTTTCTCCTCCTAGAAACACTTGGCTGGCCTGGGCCTGACAGAAGCCATCGACAAAAGCAAGGCTGACCTGTCAAAGATCTCGGGCAAGAAAGATCTTTACCTGTCCAACGTCTTCCACGCCGCTGCTCTCGAGTGGGACACGGAAGGGAACCCCTACGATGCTGACATCTATGGCCGGGAGGAGATGAGGAACCCCAAGCTCTTCTATGCTGACCACCCCTTCGTCTTCCTGATCAAGGACAGCAAAACCAACTCCATTCTTTTCATCGGCAGGCTCGTGAGGCCCAAAGGAGACAAGATGCGCGATGAGTTGTAGTTCTGTTTTATTTTTTTTTTCCAGAGCTTGTTTTGGTTTGTGATTTTTATTTTTTTTTTTAGTGGGGGATTTCAAAAAAGGGGAAACACTATTTTGTATCCTTCTCGAACTATGGGTGCTATTCAGACCAGGGTGCATTGTGATGAGAAACCAGCATACACTTTTTACCTCACCCCCCCAAATACTCTTCTTATTGCACAAACCCACCTCCAGAGGAACAGGGGAGCCTGGCACGCGAGGGTCACCAGGAATGGATGGGAACTGGCACCTCAGCTGAGCTGCTCAGGCTTCTGCCTCGCTCCTCCCTGCACTAAAATTAAGCCTCCTGCTACTACCAGCAGCCCTGCCGAGGCACCAGCCCTCCACCCTTCCATCTCAAACGCTTGTGCACGTTCAGCTCTGCTTTTTTATTGTTTCCCCCTCACTTTGGTGCTGTGAATCGCTATGCTGTAGCTGCTCTGATCCCTCTGCACTCGTTTCTTGGCTTGTGATGGAAGGCAGACGCATGCTCGCTTCTTCTTTCCTAAGTGATACAAAACAAGGGCTGATTCTGGGGTGCAGCCCCCAGCATGCCAGCAGGTAAGAGCTGAGGTCGCACGGAGCTGTGCCCTCCTGTCCAGCCTCACCCCTGCTTCAGCAGGGCACCAGCTCCTTAGCTAGAATAAAGCCAGGCACAGCTTTGGTCTGCACTGCAGAGAAGCCAAAGAGAAGAGGAGCCTCTAAAACGAGGTCCTATTTGAGGTCCCTTCAAACGCTCCTGCGAGGAATTCCTATAAATGGCCGTGCTCCACGTTTCCAGGAATCACGGAGGGGGCCCTGGGGCCAAGATCTGTAAATAAACATCCTGTCCCGGGCCGACAGAGGAACTTCTTCTCGCTGCTCCTGCATCAGCTCAGAGGGATGGCAAAGTTTACACTGTGAAGGTTCCCCCAGTTACAGCCAGGGCTGGAACCCGTCAGCTCCCGGGGCAGGCTGAGGTTTCTCCTGCTGGCTTCTCACAGGGATCAGGTCTCACCCCCTCTTTTTTGCGTAATTTAACTTCTGAGCTGCCTCTACCTGGCTTCCTAATGACCCTTTTCTGAAGCTCCTATCTCCTCCGTGATACTTTAGCTCCCTGTCGGCTGACCTGGACGAGGGCACGCTGAAAAAAGCAATGTATTTATGGTTATATACGTATTTATGTCTGATAATTAGCAAGTTTCATCGCCTGCTCCAGCCTCCCCTTGGAGGCTTTTCCCATCTTCCTCTCATTCAGGGACGTTGTCAGGTTAACACTACTTAAATAAGTGATGCAACCCCACACGCATCAAAGCACGGGTCAGGTAAGCCTTGCTATGCACTGAGACAGAGCAAATCATGACAAATCACTGAAATGAGAGAAATCTGAGTGTCATAAATTGGTGGCAGTTATTTGGAAGCAGTAAGGATGGTGTGAATGCATCGCTTTTATTTTCCTTCCAATGCATTCCCTGCCAGGTTGCTTCGTCCAAGCCCGATACTGCATTTTTTTTTTCTAGACCATATATGAGACTGCCTCCACTTATTTATTATGTAAAAATTAAGGAGTTAGCTCTCAAACAGCCCAAAACACAGCACCGTGTGCCCCCAGGTTTAACCTGACTGCGTCTCCTCCAGCTTTGCAAGGACACACGATTGCAGATCAGCAGCTCTGCCCCAATTCCCATCCAAGCCAGCTGGAAAGGGAGCTCTTTGCCCCGTTTTTCTTCCTAGCTCATGCTCCCAGGTGCTTTCCAGGGGGAGGAGGGAACCCACAGGGATGTACCCAAAGGAATGGGAAGCCAAAAAACCCAGCGTGTATGCTAGACCCTAAAATGTGGTGGTGAATCAGCGCACTGAAACCCAAATGCTGTAGCACATTCTGGAGGTCGGGGTTTGGGGGGGGAGAGACGGGGAGGGCAAGGCAAGAACACACTGTGGGATATTGTGAATAATTCGCGTCGTGTGGATGCAGCTGTCCAGTGGCTTTTGTCATCTCTTCTTGGATCCACACGATGACAGTTGTATAATTTTGCAATAAAACCTTTTTTCAATGAACCCGCCGGGCAACCAGGCTGAGCTGCAGGGCTCGGGGTGGGGATGAAATCTTTTTCGAAGAGCTCATGGCAGCTCCTTGCCGTGATTCAATCTGAGGCACCTGATGGGGTGTTTATGGACCAAAGTTACACAAATCCGTGGGTCAATTCCCATGATTTATATCATGGGAAAGGAGGAAATCATTGGCTGGTTTGCAAAAGTGCCACGTGTCCGGCATCTTGAATGCTTCACAGACAGGATCTACTGTCCTCCCGTCCTGTGACATTCAACCGAGCAGCAAATGGCTCTTAAAAAAAATAAATAAATCTCTCTGTAGTAGGAATAAAACCGACCTGTTAGGCACAGGGACTGCCCTTCCTGAACCTGCAGCCCCAGATTTGTGTGGCTGGGATCCAGCTGAAGGAAACAGATAAAAAAAAAAAAAAAAAAAAAAAAAAAGAGGAAAAAGTAAAGTGAGAACCTGCAGCGTTGTTGTGGGCACACGGCTAGGTGCTGGAAAAAACAGCAAGGTCAGAGCCTGCTGGGCTGTGTGTTAAACTGCTGTATTCGAGCGTGCCACAAGCAAAACTAAAACCCCATCTCAAAAAAAACCCCACATACTGATCACTGTTGGTAGCATTCTAACATTTAACAAGCAAAAACTTTGGGTTTTTAAAGCTTTCCGCTGGAAGATGTGCACAGGAACCTGAAAATCAGGCTCATTCCGTGACACCCTGAGAGGACACATCTGTTTCTGACAGACCTCACTCCCTGCCAGCGCCAGGAACAGGAAGGCTGAGGCTCGCACATCCTCTGCCAGACAAGTTTCTGGCGCTGTCAGTTTGAAATTCCTGTTCAGAGGCTGCCTACGTAGCTCTTGCAGAGGAGCCCTCAGAAAATGGGGAATTGGATGCAAAAGCTACTCCCAAGGAAAAAATAAAATAAAAAAAATAAAAAAAGTAGCCTTGTAACCTCGTTATCAGCTTCAGGATCTACCTACGTAACCCTACAGCTCCTCACCACACAGCAACAAATTAATACGCTGTCTGTTCAAGCCTCAAAGGAAGACAAGTTTTTTTTCAACCATTTAAATGTGTTTGCATCTAAATATTTAGGACAGGTTTGAAATCTACATATACACACACTTTTTTTTCCCCAAATAATGTGTGAATGCCTGCCCAGGTTGTTTCACCGCGTATCACCACCAAGTGACGTTACCTCTCCCCACCAGGAGCTGTAAAACACTCCTCTGTAGCCCTGAAAGGCCCACAGTGCAGGATGGTCTTAGATTGAAAAGGAAAATTGAATTATACAGGTGAAAAAAGCATTTGGTAAAAAGTAAAATACTTCAGCTGATCACAACGGCTTTGGACATCACTAAAAAGCTCCCCCTTCTGGAAACCTTGGAGAAAGACCGGTAGGTAATTAAAGATTTGCCACGACTCCAGGTTTTGGAGATATTTGTGATGCCCTAAACACCACACTGCTGCTCCATCTCTATCTAGAAACCAGATAGATTTTTTTGTCCCCTCTCTGTTTAGATCACTCCAGAAGGTAACACAGGCTAGAAAAAACGCGAAGGAATTCCTTCCACACCAGAGATGGGAGTGGGGCTCTCTCTGAATGCACCTTGCAAAAGAAGCACCCCCACAAACGCTGTCTTTTGTGATTTTATTAAGAGATGTTTTCAGGACAGCCAAGCTTCTGCTTGCAGATGCTGCAAAACCTGTAAGAAAAAAAAAAAAGAACAAGATACTGAGTGAGATGGTAGCAGAGCATTTTCCATTTCCATTCTCCTACCCAAAATACTTATTTAGAGACAGGAGTTCAAACCTGGATCATTTTCTTATGGAATCTGCCTACAAATCATGTTCATGGGGTCAGCTGCGTGCTGGTAGGTGGGCTAAGGGGTGTGAAAACACCTCAAGCACGGAGCCCTTCTCAGACAAATGCCTCTAGGTCACTCAAATCCCAGCCCGAGGTCCCAGACCTCATGCTGTAGAACACAGCACGAGGCAGGGCACTCAGACGTTCCCTTTCAGACTCGTCATCGTATCCTCACTGAAGGGCAAGCCCCGGTGCTTCGCAGCGTGCCACTAAACCACCTCAGTTTTGGGGACAGCCACCCCAAAACAGCCACCCCAGCTGATAATTGCCCCCAGAATAGGGTGAAGCTGTCTGAAGGAGGAGAACAGCTCCCTCCTGGTTTGCTTCTCCACGTTTTAGCTACCTCCTGGTGCCACAAAACCTCTCCCACAGTACCCTCACCCCGCTAAGTCCCGCTGCTCGCAGGCTCTTACCCCTCAGGCAGTGGGAACTGGCTGAGGCATGGCCGGCTGTTCTGGCTTGCCACCTTTCTGCTCTGAAATGGGAGTGGTGGGCAAGATCTCTTCTTTGGGTTCCACGATGCTGACGTGATCTGGCAGAGGCTTTTTGGGGCCAATCTTTCCGCTTGGGTCCCAAGGCAACATAATCTTTACTTTGATTCCCAATACACCTGCAAAAGAAGGGGAAAGACCATTCAACACGAGGTACCAAGTGCACAGTCAGCAGTGAAAAGCCTGAAGGCTACCAAATAACCTCCCTGCATCAAAAAATGTTCCCTATCAAGACACAGATGGCAGCTAATTAAGACAAAAGGGGTAGAGCTTCATAATTTAGTTACTGTAGATCTAAATCAGAGTATTTTTTTTATGAATTTTGCTAACCGCAGCTCAGGATGAGTACAACAGAACCATGCTGCATCCTCACATCATGCTAAGCCTGATGTGAAACACTTTTTCCTTGGGGTAACAGCTCAGTTTCCTAGCCAACTGCCTTGTTTGTTGTTTTTTTTTGTTTTTCTATCCCTTCTCAGACAAATGCCTCGAAATCATCCAATGTGTAGGACGTCCTGCCCAACGTGGCCTTGGCACAGCACCACAGAACGTGGCACCGAGCAGGCTGCGCTGATGCGAGGACGTCACCGTCTGACTCGTCATCGGATCGTCACCGAAGGGAAGGCAGAGAGGGACTTCGTGCTGCCATTCCTACATGGGATGCTCTGCAATTAAGTAACCCGAAGCCAATTAAGATGCAGAAGTCACTTTTACCCAGGGGAAGGACCGGGGTGAGCAGGCTCGGCTGGTTTAGCTGGGAAGACCTGAAACAGCACAGCTATGGGGGAAAAAACTGTCAGTGGGTGGTGTTGGATTTTCTATGGGGCTTGTAAGCACCCATGTTCTGCCCGACTTCCCCCGGGAGCCAGAATCCAACTGCAAACAGTCTTTGAACAGTCAGGAAGTGCTTCTCCATTTTTAAGGTGTTTTGCTACCAGCCTCAGAAGCCATAAGACACAAATCAGTGTCTGGAAAATCACATAATCAGCTGGAAATGTTCAATCCCCACTAGCAGCAAAGGCAGAAGACTCTGAGAGACCACAGCAAGTCCTGTTGTCTGCTGAAAGACTCTTCTCCATCTCCCATCAGTTACAATTCCCAGGGGCAGCACAACAGAAACATTCTGCAAGATCAGAGGGGCATGAGAGCTGAGGAAAACCTTCCACCTGCAGGCACAGAACGCCTGCAGCTGGGATCTCCTGGCTCCAAAACACTTGGAAACAAAAAAACAGCAGGGAGAGCCACTCACCCTGCCGGAGAAGGACGTGACGCACGGCTGTGTCGACGTAGTAATTCACGGGGTCCCCGCTGTGGATCATCAAACCATCCACGAATTTCATGGACTTGGCACGCTGACCTCTGAGTTTGCCCGAGACGACCACCTCGCAGCCCTTGGCGCCGCTCTCCATGATGAAGCGGAGGACACCGTAGCAAGCTCTGAAGGCAGAAAGCAGAACAAATTTTGAGTCAGTTGAGGGCACCTCAGCCAAATCTGCACTCCCTGGTGCCATTTTACACCAGCTTCAGTCCCAGGCCTCGGGAAGTTGTGAGGACAGTGACAAGCGGACTTTCTGAGCAGCTCCGTAGCTGAAGGTGGACAATTCTTCACGGCAGGAGCCAGCCCCTGTGTCCCTTTCTCAGACAAATGCCTCAAAATCATTCAATGAGGATGGGATGCTCCTGCTGAAGAGCCACCCGCAGCACCACAGGACGTGATACCGCAGGGGCACCACTCTGCAGGAGCCACCCGCTTCTGACTCGTCATCTTATCATCACCGAAGGGATCTGAGGAGCAGGGCCGCTGTCACCTCAACCACAGTTCAGCCAGAAGGCTTCAAGTTGTGATTTGAACCATTTATTCAGAAATAAACACAAGCTTTATCCACACCAGTCACCCAACTTTTAATCTGATCTGCTGTGGGCTTCAACATTTACTTTTGAAATACAATTACTACAAGAAGTAACAGTGTACTACACAAAAAGCTGCGCACAGCAGGAATTAAAACTCCAAACTGCCCTCTCCATGTACAGCATCACCGGGTTAAACTTTCAAGCTGAAGGTGGTGAGGGGTTCTTTCGAAATTGTGCCTGAAGCCTGCACTGCCTCGCAGTTGCTGTACTCACCGACGCACCGCTAAGCCTCCCAGAAGCTTGTACCGCAGGGACTCTGCCTGAGCGATCGCGCACAGACCTCTTGTGGCCACCTTCTCGGCATAGAGCTGCAAAAAAAAAACAACAAAGTGGTCAGTAAACTCAGCAGTGGCTTTATTTCCAGGTGGTTTTCAGTTAAAATAAAGCAGGAGCTTCCTACTGCTCAACATCCCATCCCCATTAGAACACGTCTGCTGATACTTCAGGAAGAGACACTCAAAAATCACACGGACAATATTCACGGAGCCAGCAACTCCTGATGCGCTCCGTGAAGGTCGCTGTCATTAAGTTTAAGCATCTGATGAAGATCAGCAGCAGCCTTCACTGTATAATGTGATCCAGCAGCACTGGCTGGGCAGGAATAAATGCGAGCAGCACCCCAAAACACAAAATAGCACCCCCCAGCCTCCCCCAGAACTTTTTAGAGGAAAGTACGAGCGAGGACACCAGATTTCAACCATTTAAAAGACATCAGGAAATTACTGTCGTGTCACTTGACTATCTAATTCATTACAGTTCTCACACAATCTCAGAGCTCATTCTGTAACAAAGCACTAAGTGCAGAAGCGTTATGAATTTATTAATTAGGAATGGTAACATACTAATAAAAATTTCTCTGCTAGACTCGTTTCTCACCTCAATGTTGGTACAGCAACATCCTCTACAAAACAACCACAGAAATGGTTTGGGTTGGAAGGGACCTTAAAGACCACCTAGTTCCAAACCCTACTATGGGTTTTTAGAGAAATGTACTTCTCAGATATTGGGAAAGCAGCGAAAAACAGCCCAACTGACAGCTCTCAAAGTACCATTAAAAGCCAACCACCTCCTCTTTCAGGGCAACAGCATTTTGTGAGAAGAGGTAAAACGCACCCCAAGATAATCTCCCAGCAAACTTTCAGCTGAAACCACCCGAACAGAGCACGCAGCTAAGTGAACAGCCCACTTACTACTGGTTTAACTGAGGCAGTTTTACCTCAACGCTTCCCTCAGGAAAGCCAAACCTCTTCTGCACGACAGCTGTCAGCTCCCGGATGCGGCGCCCCTTCTCACCCAGGACATTCTGGGTCCTGGAATTAAAAAAAACAACACACAGTAGAGTATAACTGAGAAAGTAAAAAGACAAAACAGTGAAGTATTAACTGAGAAAGTGTCCCCATGTCAGAGCCTGCAACTATCCCAGAGAGCTTCCAGAGAGCATCTAACCCTGTCCAGCCTTGACTAGCAGAGGCTGTAATGCTGCTGTATCACTGAATATCACTTCAGGATTTCTTTCCCAAGCGTCTTTCCCTAATGATATTATCGTTTAAAGGTTCAGCAGCACCTCTTACAGCCTGGCACAGCCTCCAAGACCCGACAGCAGCGTCTCGGTTACCTGGTGGCGAGTATGATGATCTCGGTCCTGGTTGGAGTGACCCGGACTTCTACTCCCGAGTAGCCATCTTCAGCCAGTTCGCGAGTCAGGAACTCGTTCAGCTCAGCTTTGAAGATGCCATCAGCGACAAACTACAAAGCAACGAGGCCAAGTCAACCTCTGGGTCAAGCACTCAGCCTCAAGCCAGGGTTTTCTGCTTAAACCTAGGCCAAATTCACCCCCGAGCCGGCCCGCAGCCTGGCAGCTCCTCTCCTCACGCAGAAATAAGGAGAAAAATAAAACCTTCCGCCTTGAAAACCCCAGGCCCGGCTCCCCTCCCTCCTCTCAGCACCCCGCCAGCCTCCCGCCGCCATCTTCCCCACGGGGCCTCCGCGCCTCATCCGCCTCCATCCGCCGCCATCCTCCCCCACCCGCCGCCATCCCCCGCCGCCGACGAAAGCCGAGACCTCCCTCATCGCGGCCCCGCCGATATGGAGGCGCCCCGAGGCCTCGGCGACGCGGGAGGCCGCCCTCACCTTGCGCTTCTTGGAGATCTGCACCGCCATCTTGCGCCGCGCCGCCCGGCGGAAAGGAGGGAACGGGCCCTCCTGGGCGGGCTATATCGCCTTCCGCCGCTTCCTATTGGTCAGCTGAGGTCACGTGGGGGGGCTACCCGGGGGAGAGGGATGATGGGAAATGTAGTTTTTTCCCGGCGCCGCCATGTTGGCGGGGCTTAACCCGCCCTCTTTCAAGGCGTTTTTCCGCTTTCCAAGCGGCTGCGAGCGCCCTCAGTCGGTGTTAAGATGGCTGGAAAGCCGATGTGAAAGGGCCCGAGCGCTGACAGGATAATTCACCTCGATATGCAGCTTTCAGGGTGGTTACAGACGCCGTCCCCTCATGGCTGCCGTCCCCGTCGCCATGAGGGGAGCGGCGCTGAGGGGTGGGGGCGCCAGCCCCGCTCTGACCGCGTTTTGTTTCATTTTTTATTTTTCACCTTTCTTCCTGTTTTTAGTCAGTCACAAGTGAAGGAAACGCCCCTGAGGAAAACCATGTGAAAAGCGCGCATGAGCTCTCTGTTATTTGCAGGGAAACATCAGGAGTCTTGACATCTCAAGAGTGCCAAACTCTTATCCCTTACTTTAAGTAAAATTTAACAATAGCTGTTAATTATTTACAGTTACCTATAAGTTATGGTCAACTGTAAACTTCGAGCTACTGTAGGTCTTGGCTGCTGTGTTTGTGCAGCGTCTCGAGGGAGGGCTGTGGTCCCTCTACCTCACTCAAGGCAAATTAAATAAATATGACAAATGGAGTTGCAGGACAGGTCTTTTGAGGTGTTTTTTTACCTCTTTTGACATATCGTCACTTCTTTTGTCCTCTTTTGACATGTCACCACCCCTGCAGTCTGGGCACTGGGTTACGGGAATACCAACAGGACGGGATTTCTTGCTTAAAACTTCCACGGTGGCCAAAGATGGAGAAATCGGTCATTTTGTCAAAAATGTTACAGTTTTAGGGGGTTACAGGCTTTTGGATGTGCAGTGTAAACGAGAAAACATAATAATGGGGAGAACTAATAAATGAAAATATCCACAAACGCGGGTAAATACGGACTGCTTGGGAGGAATGAGAAAATGAAAGTCCTGCCTTGCAAACCTCCAAGAACGGAGCCAGAAGATTTGAGGATAATGGTGAAAAAGGGGATAATAGTGGAAAAAAAGGTTGAAATAAGCTGTTGGGCTTTCTGTAAGGCTTCTTTTGGATAGCTTCACTAGAGGTTTGACAAAAAGTGAGCAGCCACAGGTGAGGGCAGGGGCACTGCACGGCTCTGGTTGTACAGAAAGGGCCTTGTGTGGATACTACAGGGCTTCTGTGCCAAAAATATATATCAAGAAAGGATGAAAAAATGAGATATCATCATTTCGTGGCTCCGTAAATAAGTCTGTGGTCCACCTGTCTGTGGTCCACCTGCGTTGTGCCAGCTGGATCTCCATCTCGGAGGGGTAGAGGCGAGGGGTGTTGAGAGGCCTGGGAGCACCTCTGTGTGCAGTAAAGATAAAAAATAAATAAATAAATAAATAAATGGTTAAAATCCAGCAAAACCCACAGACTTCACGATCACAGTCCTCCCACAGCAAGCAGATGAAGGCAGTGGGAGGTGGGTGCTTGCTGCGAGCAGATTTGTTGTGTTTTCAGGTTTCCCTGGGCTTTTGGCTACGGACAGAAATGCTGAGCTGGGTTTCTTCTGAGCCAGCATGAGGAGAGAGTCTTTGGGAAGGAGAGTGGTGACAGGATGAGGGGTAATGGCTTTAAATTAAAATAAAATGATCTGTCCTGCAGCCACCTCCTGCACTGCCCCTGTTTCCAGCCTGCTCAGAAGCACCCATGGGGACCAGAGGAAAAAAAAAAAAAAAAAAAAAAAAAAAAAAAAAAAAAAAAAAAGGAAGGGAAAAAAAAAAAAAGAAGAAAAAAAAAAAGAAGAAGAAGAAAAAAAGCCTGGTTTGCCACTAGATGTCAGTGGAGACAGTTTCCAGGGTGGGGAAAGCTTCGTGTGTTGTGCTCAATGAGGAGTTCCTCTTGCCCAAAATTCAGAGCCAAACTCCATCCATCTCCTCCTGATTTCCCCCTCTAGGGACTGAGGCTGGAGCCAGGTCAAACAGGGATCGAACTGGGAGCACTGGGAGCCCAGGGCTTGGACTGGGCTGGTATAACATGGCCAGAAATACCTGCTTAGGCGTGCTGTCAACTCCTGCTGCTCCTTTGCATCTGCATCCCTGTAGACAGACAGAGCCAGCTCATGGTTTAGAGGAGGTAAGAAAAGAAGAGGAATTTAGAGGAGGTGAGAAAAGAAGTGAAATTTAGAGGAGGTGAGAATCACCTTACGAGAGACTTCAGCCACTAGGTTGGGACGTGCTTCCAGCATCCCTTATCCAGCGGGATGGATCACGGAGCTGACCAGAGGTACGAGAGGGAGAAGTCCCCTCTCTGAAGAAGTCATTCCTTTTTTTTTCCACCCCATGCAGAGGCACTACTGCATTTTCCCTGGCAGAAAAACGTTTTATATGACCTCTTCTCCTGCCCCCCTCACCCTGCCTTGCCCCTTCCTCCCTCCTCCCGGACCCATCCTTTGTAGGGCGGCCAGGAGCCGAGGACATCTCTGTGCAGGCGTCTGAGCCTAAATCCCTAATAACCTGGCTCTCAAATCAGTTTTTAGGACCCTCCTAACCTAAACCAAACCCACTGCTTGCAGGTTTCCACCTTGGGACCACCTTCCTTCAGGAAATATCTGCCCGAGGTCTTCCTTTTAGGCCGGGTTTGCCGAGCCGATGCATTTCTGCACCCCATAAAGAGAAGGGGAAGGCACGGTGTGAGCCAAAAGCCTGGCCCTGACGTGCGTCGCCTTTTCCATGCCCTATTAAGGAGAAACTATGTGTTGTGTCAGCATTTCGGGGGCAGCATGGCCCAGAGGAGAGCTCTGGGGGGGGGGTGTCAGGCAGCGAGGGAATGTCCCCTCTCCCCCCAGACGTGGCCTGGCTGAGCCAGCGGGGCTCCGAGCCCTGGTTGGGAAGGTTTCAGTCCCACAAATAGCAGCGTGGGATTCCTCTTTTGGCTCCCTCCGGCCCCAGACACAGCCAGGAGGTTGCTTTGCTCGGCTGAGGAGCCAGCACTGCCCCAAAAACCCATGTTTTTAGGTTTTTAGTTTTTTTTTTTTAGGGTTTTTGGGGTGCAGAGGGAGCAGGGAAAGAGCTGGCCGCCCTTGAGGGCATTTCCCTGCTGCTGCTCAGAGCTCAGGGGATTCACACCCCCCTCGGATGTCACATCGGTGGCACCAGCATCCCCGACGGGGCCCCTTTTGGGGAGCTGGGGGTGAGCAGCAGGTCTCCTCGCGGCGGGGAAGCCATCCCGGAGCAGGTTGGGGATTTGGGAGCTGTCCTGCCTCCCCCCCTTGCTCCTTTCATCGCCCAGACAGCGACATGGTTTATGGCAGCCCCGGGCCATTGAGCGGGCTCAATGAAGCCGCTCGTCCCCTGCTTTGGCTCCCCAGGAACCTGGCTCCCGTTCAGAGCAGCCAGGAGGGGCTGGCAGCGGCCTCGCAGCGAAGGGGCCGGGGTAAACGGTGACTTTTCCCAGCTCGTAGGCACGTGGGATTTTTGGGGGGAGGCCCCGGTGGCAAAAGGCAGCATTGGGGGAGAACGTCCTGCTAGGAAAAGCCCACGATTCCTCCTCCTGCTGCTGCTTTCCCATGATAAAATCATGTCCCCATCACAGGGAGATGCTGCAGGAGCAGGAGGAAATCTGATTGCTGCTCCCGGAGCGAGCCCTCACCTTCCCGAGAGGAAAAAGGAGCCAGCCCAAGGTCAGTGCTGCGTTAAACCTGCCTCCCACTGCCTTTTTTACACATCCTGGAGGGCTGGAAGAGAAAAACCATCCCACTCACCCGCCCTACAGCCAGCAATTTCATCGGGCACACCGCAGGGCTAATGAATTTTCCCCCCAGAAAAGGTGGAAAAGTGGAAAACAAAACCCGGGACAGGGATGGACAAAAGGAGTTGGGGTTCTGCTCCCCGGCAGAAGGAGTGCTAAGGCACAGGGGGAAAAAACACAGCCCGAAAACCTCTACCTGCCTGCTCTCCTCATCTCCTGCAGCATTTTAGCTCTCTCTGCGAGGCAGTGAGGTGATTTGCAGCAGGCACGCAGCCACCTCCCAGGGGACAGCACTGAAACCCGTTCTGCTGCAGGGTGATGAAGATTTAGGGTTGTTTCCACGAGGCTGGGGGTTTGGAGGCTGTAGGATTTACTTTGCTTGGGGAAGGAGAGAGGAGGGGTGTGCGTCCCAGCCCTAATAACCCCTGCAAGAGGACAACCCGCGGGCGCTAATGGGGCAAAAACGCTCCCCGAGCTCCAGCCGCCAGCTGTGTCTCGGGGCCTGAGCCTGTTCTGAGCAAATTCACCCCATTTTCAGGCTGCCGGCTCGCTGAGAACCCCCTCCACCAGCAAGAACCAGCGCCAGAACAGCCGGGAGTCCACGCACAAGGTGATTTTCTAGGACATTAACCAGAGCCCTCGGAAGCCAGCTCGCAAGGGACCCATGAGGAGCACACAGACACCTGACCGGAACGCAAAAGCGGAGCCAAAGATGCAACACCTTTTATATTTTTCCTTATCTTTCAGAAATAGCTCTAAATAGCGAGCTCAAAGCAGCGGTAGCAGTTGCGAGGGGCTATTTGCTTTTGAAAATGAGCAGTTTCGGCAAAAATATCAGATGATTGCCGTCCAGGAAGGGCTTATTTTGGGGATCGCAGCTACTCATGGCGCTAAATAAACCATTCGGGCTGCGATGCGACACACCTGCTTGGCAGGGTCTAATAAATAAATGAAGCGTGTTTACTAAGCCGGCCTTTCTGGAGGAATAACACCTCCTCGCATCCTTGATTTATCTCCAGCCAGGACGATTCAGGGAGAGCAGGAGCTGCAAAGCCAACGGCAAGCAAAAGCCAACCAGCACGAGCTGTTCCCAAAACGAGGGCTGGGTTAAAGGAGATCATAGCAGCCATGATCCCCTCTTTGTCCCTCCTCTGCCCTTGCTGCTCCTTTTTGAGGAGCTGCACTCATTTCTGTCACCTCTTTTTGGAGGAAAATGATGGGTTTGTGCTCACTCCACAGCAATGGAAACGAAGGAAGGGTGCACGAACAGGTAAAGGCACGCTGCGATCGCTCACACCTCGCTCCTCAGAAACCAGGATATTCATATCCACATGACATTAATATTAAAAAAAAACCTCATAACCATGCTTTTAAATCATCAGCCTCTCATATCTCCTCGTGCAAGCAGATTTCATTAATTAACCTGAGGTTGTGGCTGTTTTCGGTCCCCGCCTGACAGCCTCGCACCCAAACGTGGTGCTTGCGGTGCCCTCCCGCTGTCCGGCAGGAAGGAGGCCCCACTCCTGGAGAAATTAATTAATCAGTGCAGTAATTTGCCTCTGTGACACGGAGGTGAAGCTGGATTTGGCCCAGTCTGCAGGATTCAGCCGGGCAAAACAGCTGCGCTACGGGGTTTGGAAAAGCTGCCGCTGTCAGCACTCCCTGCGCAACTGATCCTGGAAATTCATTTGTCTTTTAACAAACAACGGGAAAAAGGAGAAGCAATTACAGCAGCAGCACACCTCACAGCAATTGTTCTTGGATTTGCATTGTAAAAGAAAAACCTAAACCAAACCCAGGAGCCAAATCTCAGCCCCGAGCATCCAGAGCATCCAACCCAGGAGAGGACAGAGCTTCCTCCACTCCTGGGTTAGGACAGCACCCACAGCCCAGCATGTTTTTTGCCCCAAATGATGCATTTCGGTGCCGGGAGGAGTGGGAGAACCCACTTGTTGTCACGCTGCTCTGACAGCTCCACTCCTCAAAAGCCATTTCCAACCCAATTCCAGTGCACAAAGCAGGCAGGCTCCTCAGGAGTGTCAGAACATCGTTTTTTGGGGACATTTCTCCTGGCACACTCTGCAGCCTCCATCCTCGATCCTGCCATGGCAGTGGGCAGCCGACCGCCTGCTGAAGACCACGAAGCTTCCCAGGAGACCCCGGGCAGCCGAAGCAGCAGCCTGGGATGCTCAGAAAATGACAGAAAGCCTCCAGCGCTTCCTTTCCAAAAGCTTTCTGGCTGATCTGAAAGCTCTTCTTTTCGGGGAGAGGCTCAGAGGGATGCTGCAGACCGAATCGCTCGATGCTCAGACGAGAATCTCATCAGCTTGCAATTAAAGCAGCCTCACGTACCCGGACCGGCAACCCGGCGATGGCTGCATCCAAGAAATAGCTTTAATAATTTACTCTCTTCACTCTGCCAGTCCTGATTTTATCTCCCGGAGGGCCTGCCGTGTGTGATACAAAATCAACCACAGTCTGCTACAGCCCAAATGCAACCCAGGACATATTTTAAGGGCTGAGCTCTCCCCTGGGACGCAGCACAGCAAAGCAGAGCCTGGCTCCTGCTTCCCTGGCTGCTGGTGGTTTTTTTTTTTTGGCTCGGGCAGGGCCAGGTGGGTGTGAAACCATCGCCCCCCCTTTGTCAGTGAGTTTTCATTCATTCTTTCTGTCACTTTCTCTCAAAAATTTCCATCTTTGCACTGGCCAAGCTCCACGTGCTCTTTCCCTAAATCCCCCACGCCAAACACGAAGCCACACATAACCTCTGCTTTGTACCAGGCTCCCTTTTGGCCTCAAAACGAGAGCTGTTAAAGCCACAGCTGCCTCCTTCTCGCAGGCAAAGCGCTTTGGGAAGCGCTTCAGGGTGAGGAGATCATGGAAAAATCAGTGGTGGATTTGGGGATTAGCATCGTTTATAAACTGTGCTGATAATGACAGGAGGTGTGTGAAGCAGCAAAAGGAGAGATGCAACAAGCAAGGCGCTGAACAAAAGGACAAAGCAGTCAGGACAGTAATTTTTGGAGGAGCACCGCGAATGGATCTAAAAAGCAGAAGATGGGATTTCTCAAAGGAGGAGACCTCGCACAGGACTTAGCCAAAAAGCACTCACCTTCGAGAAGGAAAAGAAGCAAAGCAAGGCGCTGGGCTGCTGAGCTGGGAAGAAAATAACAGGGAAAGGCAGAGCACGAAGGGAGCCTTGGTTCCTGGTGCAGGGGAAACGCACAATTAGGCAAATCGAGCCCATTAAAGGACAATCGCGCCAAAGAGGTATTATCAATCACCTTCCTCCTCTTTCTTTATGCAATTATCCTAACGGGGCCGTTAAGCAATTATTTCGATAGCTGGGGCTTTGTTGCCGGCTCTGCATTTGGGGAATGATTTTGTTCCTCATATAAATACCACCTCCAAGCGATATTTTAAGATTGTTTTAAGCTTTTGTGTGTTTTTCTGAGCAGGAGTTTCAAGTTTCTGCGTAAAAGAATAATAAACCATAAAAACGATGCCCCAAAACCTCTATATTTTTGTCCCCAAAGGCCAGGCTCTCTCTCAGCCACAGATCTTCCCCCGGTGGAAATCTTCCACGGACTTTTTGCCCCAAACGTCGCCGGGTCTGGTATCAGGGCAACAAAAGGGCTTTAGTTCCACTTTTTTTTTATTATTCAACTTTTTATACATAATAAATACAAACTTTTTACAGCCAATATAAAGAAAGCATTTGCACCCATGCTTTCAGTGTACTGACGCTGTACATGATGATACGTCGAATACATGCCCTGTATGAAGAAATCATAGTTAAAAAGGAGGCATATTTGTACAACTTTTCTTTTTTTTCTTTTTTTTTTCTTTTTTAAATAAAATTAGCAGCTCTTACAGAAAATATTTTAAAATACAACTAAAGAGACTTTAAATAACACTTTCTGAATTTTGAAAGTCCAGGGATGAAGGACACAGAAAAACTGGCCAAAGAAATTGAACGTGAACATTATGGCAAAACTTGCTTTTCTTCTGCGTTGTGAAGCTTTCAAAATTTTTGCAAACAGTTAAATCTTTTTAAAAACTTTTTTTTTTTTTTTTTAAACTTAAGAACAAGTTTGATAAACACATAAAAAGACCTCGAACAGATCAACAGGACAAGAGGTGCAAAAGAATGAAAAATATGGAAAAGACTTCATTGGACAGTCACTGATTTCATAACTGATCAATGAATTTTTTTTTTTCTTCAAACAGCCCCACTCTTGGTTAAAGATCCCACTGGGAAAGGAGATTGGCAAATGCGAATGTCTCAGAGACCCAGCTTGGGTTGGGATTTACAAGTATGTGCAAAGTTTATGATAGAATCTGGTTAGATGATTTTTGTAAATGCAGCCTCAAAAAATAGCCCTTGTTAGTAAACTAATGGTAGACGATTTACTGGCTTAGAAAAAAAAAAATGAACACAGAAGAGCGCGTTCACTCGAGCCCATACAACAGCTCAAAAAAAGCAACCTTGTGATGCCTTTCAGCTTTGATCTGACGGATATTGCTATTCTGAGAGCAATTTAGGAATCACATATGAAGAGAAACCTGCTTTCACCTGGTTTTCCCCTTTCCTCCTCGTGTTACAGCTTTGAAAACCCTCTTCCTTTTCCATCCCACCACCAACAAAAAGCCTCCTTCCCAGAGATCTCTGATTTAAGCCTCGCTTTGAGATTTTTTTTGAGATTTTTTTTACTCTCTACTTGTTGCCTAAGAGGAATTTGCGACCATGCTCTGTTGTGCTCTTGGCCACTAAGGCAGTCTGAAGGCTTGGAATAAACCAGAGTTTTTCCTGGCTCTGGCTTCAGGTGGGAGAACACTACAGGACCATCCAATGCACGAACTAAATAATGCATGTAAATACTCTAAATGTAACGTCTAACTCTAGCCAGATCTTTTGATGACAAAGATACACTGCTAATGTTGGATAATAAAGTACACGGCAATAACTGGGATAAGAGTGACCCAAAAACTTTAAAAAAAAAAAGAAAAGAAAAGAAAACCAAAATTAAAAAAAAAAAAAAAGAAGAAAGAAAAAACAAAACCCCCAAAATCTGCTAAGAAAAAAAAAAAAAAAAAAAGAAAGAAGCTCAATTTCCAGATCTAGACAAAATCTCACTTACTTTCCTACCGGTTGGTTTATGCTATGGAACAAGATGTTGCTACTAATTCAGCACCTCCATATTAGATACTCTATTACTAAATGTACTGCATAAATATTAATACAAAGAACATTTAGTTCTGTTTAACTGTTAATTATTGAAGAGGTGTGCATTAACGTAATTAACGCCATATGATCTGCCTCAGTTTTCCTTATCTATAAGATTATTTTCCTGTTTCTTCCTTCCTCAAGGGGAGTAAAGAGGAGCCAGCCTCTCCTTATACTTATTTTTTTTTCAGTTCCCTTTCTCGTTCCGCAAGATCTGATTAATAGCTAATCAGACAAGTAATGCTACTTGGAGAATTGACAATCTTTTCACACATTCCTATGGCAACAGTAATATACTGTACTAATGCACGTGGTAGAAGTATGCTATGACTAAGTTGCATGAACGAGGCTCTTTCCTCGGCCTCCGTATAAAAATCGACCATCTTCAGCCAAGAGAGAAACCTGCTCCAAGGCAATCCTCTGCTCGCTGCTTGGCCCGTCTTGGTTTGTGCTAAGAGAGGAAGAATGATGTCTAGAAACCAAAACCCAAAAAAAAAAAAAAGGCACGAAATAGTCATGACCGCGGGAAGGAATCCACCATGTCACTGTCACAGAAAATCCTCCCTATCTCTTGCTCTATTCAACGTCTTCATCATGCAAAGGTGCCTAAAAACGAGATCGACCAAATGCGGCGTTTGGCCTTGATTGTAGCACTACTGCTCGACCAGTCCGCTCGTTACACCAGGGTAATTTCCACGTCCTCTATCTTCTCTGTTGGCCGGCGATGATGCTGCGTAGGGGGCGGTGGGGCTGCTCGCACCTGAAACAGCCAGAAAATGCCAGTAAATATCCCCAAACTCAACGTTTCACAACCTGCAGAGAGCACTGCTGCAATTTTGGGCTCTTTGTGATACTGTCCCGTCACCAGGCTCAGGTGGCTTTTCTCCAGCACGACTGGCAATCGTGGTGGTGCAAGCATCTATTTATTCTGCCTGCACATTAATGAAGTTATTTTTGCTCCTGGCCGAGCATTTCCTTGGGATTTAACAGGGTTTAAAGGGTGTTTAAAGTCCATGCAGGGTTTTTATCACGTTTTCAGAACACATCAGAATGACTCGCTATGAAAAACATGAATTGTGGAGTATGAAACAGCTGCGCAGCCCTGGTTGGTACTGTCAGCAATACCCTAAAAAACTTCACAATATTTTAAAAACATGCATATTTAAAATGCAATACTACGAGAAATCCCTTTAATTAAGACATGGCACTGTTGTAGTATCTTGAAAAGACACTCAGCTGCAAGAAACAAATTAAGTAAATACAAATCTACAAAATGAAAGAGTTGAATCAGTCATTTCACCAGAGAATATGATAACTTGCAACTTCTCCGTTCAGTATTTAAATGTTTAATAATGCAGCACTGTTATCTTTCATCTGTATTTCACTAAGGCTAACTCACTGACTGCTGGAATATTTGAATATTATTGAATATTCATTCAAAAAATACTTCTTCTGCAAACTCATTCATTAAAAATGTTAGGAAAACACAAATATTAGATCTTAATGTGATTTGTTGCAGGACTTTGAAATCCTCAAAATGTGATTCAAAGTTAACCCTAGCGGATGAACTTTGCAAGACTGAAGTGATGAAATTTTTCCTTTCCTTTCCTGGCAGGAGCTCTCTGTCTAAGCAGCAAAGGCATCACAAAACGTACAGGATATCACTGTTAAGAAAATTTTTAATTCAAAATTCTCAAATCAAGCAGTTTGGAAAAAAAATTAGCCCTAAATGCAACAAAGCTCCAAGGCTTGCGTATTACATCAAACTGCCAGCGAGCAGATTTGTCTGCCAGCACATTGTGTGGCTGGGAACACAACCTCTGGAAAAAAAAAAAACACAAAACATTTGTACAAATCATACGATTAAACTGTTCTGGCATTTATTCACCACCTCTTTATTGGTTCTGCTCAGTGGGTATTACGTGTGGCAACAGCAGAAGTAATCTCCCAAAGCCTCGCAAGGTGGTGTGCGTTTATTGACTAACATCTACATTATAGACGTAACAATTTCCTCCCAGCTTACATTTCACAATTCATGTGCCTCACAAAGAGACACGAAGCTATTACAGCTACCAAGGCAGACGCAGAAGGGCAGGCTGGATACAAAGGGGCCAGATAAAATTCAAGGTCATTTTTAAGCCCAGTCAGGGACTTATTGTTTAAACAAGCGCAGCTTTGTTTTGTTCCAGTACCCACTTATCTCCAATAGCTCTCGTGTCCCACAGCTTTCTGACACATCTGTGGTATTATCAAAGGGGAGTGAGCAGACCTTTCCTCGCACCATTCTCCCGAGATGCTCTATTATTACACGGAGTAATTGGATTTGCAGGGCACCGAGAGCCAAACCATCAGGTGTTGTATCACAGGCCACGGGAATTCCACCGCCCTGAATGCCCCTGCATGTGTTTTACCTGGGCTAGCGACATGACCCAGCTTTAAAACCTGGTAACATCGACAAAAAAAACAGCATTTGAAACTCACAGGTCGCAGTTTGCCGTATGAAGTTTCAGGAGGAAGTCGGGGAGGCTGGGAGAATCCAGGGGACTCTGAGCTGAAGCTGTTTTCTGAAAGAGAAAGCGTCAACACACCACCACCAGGTCACTCAATATTGCCGAGTAAGATTTATGGTGCAAAAAAAGCTTTTTTTTTTGTTGTTTTCCTGAAATACCAACATTTTAAATAGAGCATTGAGCTGAACTGTTTCTCTGGCTATCACAAAACTTCTTACCGTTAGTTGACGGCGATCTGGGGAAGTACTGGGACCCTCTTTTATCTGGACTATGGTAGGGGCTCGTGGGAGGCTGGTCGTACAGCGGCAGCGGCGGGAGGGCGTTGTTGGGCTTCGGAGTCGGGGATACCTGCGTGAGAGAGAGGTAAAGCCTTACTCCTCCACGGTTTTTATCTACACACCACGGCACGAGAAGCTCTCTGGGGCATTAGCATGCTAGGAACTTTCATCTGGAGAAAAACGATCCGACAAAAGCGCTGTCGGGTACACCAGAGGAGGACAGCCAAGATATCCAACAGCGATTACAGATCTATCTTTAAATCACAGGTTGCCACCGAGCAGAAATTTTCATCCTTTCCCAGGTATAATTTAGACAGGCTTTTTGAAGGTTATCTGAAAAAAAAAAAGCCATTTGGCCAAACGTGCCTCTCCACACATACACAAAAATGTGATAAAAGCGATCTGACTGCTCAGTTCTGTTTGTGCCGTTAAAATGTTGAGAAAAACAGAAGCAATAACACTCCTGCATGTAATTGGGACAAAGAATATGAAACAAAATTAGCATTGGTATTGTATGGACGTGCAAAGTTTGTCCAAAAAGCACCATGAATGTCTCTTTGGTTACCTCTGACAGCCCCGAGGCATTCCTACCCATTTAAATACAGGCAGCACTTCGGCATTTTTATCTCAAATGAAATGAAGCTCAGTCAGAACAGAGGAACTCAGCGTGCCCAGGAATGCAGCTGAACACTCCTCTGTCTTCGTGGTCTTCTCAAATCAAAGAATAAAACACTGGAGAAATGTCTGTAGGACGCATGGAAGTCCAGTTTCCAGCACCACAGTTACAGAAGGCGCCTGATTTTCTACTGTAGCGTGGGGATTACAGAACTACACTGAAATGAGGACATTTTGGCAAAAAGTACTGTGCTACAATATTCAGCAGCATTCTCCCTTCAAAAATTGAGAAGACGCAGACCAGCTTTAAGTATGAAAACATTAAATTAGGGCTAAGAGAGCCTGTAATTCTCTTTTTGCCAGGTTCTGTTCGATGTCTCAGTCCATGCCATGAATTAATTACAAGAAGGAGACTGCGAATTTTCTCCTTGGCTCATTTCCTTTCTACCCAAATACTTTCCTTTATTCACAAATCTGCTGCATTTGCCAAAACACATCAGTTGGTAATTATTAGGCTGGGTAAGGAGCTAAAAGGTAAGCATTCACTTTTTTTTTTTCTTAATTTGTTCTATTTTTTTTTTCCGTTAAAGAAGCAGCAGATCTTTGTGGTCTTGCAAAACTTCCCAAATTGGGTGATTTCTAAATCACATTTTCATAATATCGAGTACATTACTAGCCAAAGGAAAAGCTCAAGATTGTCAAAGCTTGTCACTGAGTGAAAAGGGTTAGTGTGCAGAGGGTAAAATTTCCTACAGGAACATGCCCTAACAAATTAACACCACACATACAACTCTCCACCTACCTGAATATCTCCAATCCACTGAGTCTCTCCATTTTCTGAGGCCGTAAGCTCTTCAACTAACACTGATGGGAATACCCCAACACGTCCGTTGAATTCTCCTTCCCAAAACCCATCATCGTCTTGATTCTCCTTGTTCAAGATGCGGATGATCGCCCCTTCTGGGAAGGACAGCTCATCATCTGTCTGGCCCTCGTAGTCATAAAGTGCTTTTACAAAACAGACTGGGGAAAGAAAAAAAGTGTAATCAGCATCAGCCTGAAAAACAAACAAACAAGTGCTATATAAATAATTGCTAAATGAAATTATTTTAGGTTTCCTTAATTTTGGTTAACGTTAATTGCAACTCTCCAAGACAGACAAGTCAATTATGCAGATGCTTGATTGTAGGTAGATCGTTGTTAAGAACAGTTGCACTCAGGTGCAGCTCACGAAGGAGAAATTGAGAAATAAGAGGCTGGACTAGGTGATTTTGGAGGTCTCTTCCAACCTAAATGATTCTGTGATTCTGTGAAATTCTCACGTGCAACCTCCAAACTCACTGAACAGACCACGTTTGAGAGCAAGCTTAACACACCACTTCCTGATTCATTGATATTTACCACTGGAGTCTCCATTCAGGCTGCCCGAGACCAAGTCAGCCTCCGTTGAATTATTTGAGGTGTGTGACCGACTGTCCAGTGCTGCAAGGGACTGGAGCATGCTCAGCAGGCTGCTCGATGTCGGGAACTGCAGGTACTTCTCCGGGACATAACCCACCTGGCCCGCCTTGTTCCGTGCCTGGAAATAAACGACAGGAAAGCTGCTCTGCTTTTGCCTACTACTTTGAAAAGAATCCAAACACGTTCTTACGTCACTGGTTCTATTTCTAAAAGTAATAGCGGAAAGAAAACAACCTGAGGAAAATGATACCTTTACCCAGTCTTCCATATCGCCGTCTTCAATAACCTCCAACACCTCGTGCTCCTCTATGGTCAACTCATCTGGCTGCGAAGCCTGAGGTGTACAACAGGAAAATTAGAAACTAGAAGTGTTTTCGGGTGCAAGGGGCAGAATTCTATTAGAAATTAGAATTCTCGTGCAGAACTCTATTAGGAATGAGGTTTAAAATAAATAAAAGTTAAAAAAGTCTATGATGTAGCTGACTTTAACGTAGATTAATAAGGGTTTTTTCTGAGTGCCCATGGCACCCGCAAGGCCTTTTTCAGTCAAGAGGACAGATGGAAGCCCCCTGAATACCACCCAGCCTGCCGAGCCCTGTTTACTTTTGTAACCCTAATTACTCCGTACTCGAAGGCTGCCACTGGCCTCGGCTCCCGGCGCGGTGTGATTTACGGCTGGCCCAACAGCGCGAGCAGAGGTAAACAGCATGAATGCAGTTTGTCAGCAAAGCTTTAGCTCGCCAACAGTGGCTGCACTATTCCAGCACAAAGAGCAGCTTTGTCGCGCAGCGCACAGGCGCGCCGGACACCGATACCACTGCTAGTGCAGCCCTGCAGACTCAGCAACAAACATGAGAACTCCTCCTGATGGCAGGAGCCAGACAGGGACATCTCTACGTGCTCCTCTCTCCTTGTGCTTTTCACATCTCGCTATCAGACACAGTTAATGTGCACAATTACCCAAAAGCTGGCATCCGTAACTCCAATTCCCCCAGGCTGTGCTGTGTGTGTTATATATCATGGTGGGATTCGTTTTTCTAAGCAGACACAAATTTAAAAGAAAAAAAAAATCACAAACCTTATACGAATAAACGACTTTGCAGGTGAGAGGGTAATTTCTTAGAGTACCAGAAGGACTAGAGCTGCTGTCATCAAAAACATCCATGCTGTCTTCAAACTCCTCACCTTCTTCTTTTTCCGCATCAGCATTAATCTATTAAAAAAAAATAAATTCATCAAAATGAAGTCAAACTGAATGTGAAGTCAAACTTAATCAAAAGCCAAAACAAATGTGTTAAATAAAAAGAAGTGAAGAAGTAACAATGAAATGGATTAACCACTGTTCTTCAGGGTTTTTTTTTTTGGTTGGTTGGTTTTGGTTTTTCCTGTTTATAATTATTGAATCATCAGTGACTGCACAAAAACACAATGCAAGTTTTTTTCCTTAAAAAATAAAAGAAGGAAATCAGGACCAAAAAATATTCAGCCTGTGAGTCTCAGCGTCGGGAAGACAATCACCAAACAAAGCCAATAAGGGAAGCAGATGAATAAGAGCTGTCACCAAATCCCATCTTTGCCCAACTCAGCTGTAATTCTTTATTCAAGCCCAGGCCAATGTACTTAAAACCCATCACTAAAAGATTTTGGAGGCTGTAACTCAACTGCCGGACAGCAATTTTTTACATAAGCTATGAAATGTGACCAATGTGCTTTGGAGATGCCATTTCAGAGCTGTAGCAAATAGTTTCATGGAAAATAAGGTCGGTTACGGAGAATTTGTGCTATTAAGAGGCTAATGTACCTGTGACCACGAGTTACAAAATGAAACTGCAGGGGAAATACTCAAATTGAAGAAATAAAAACCTCAGCCTTCCATCTGGTGTGCTCTGTGCAAGGTATTCGCCGCAGTTTATTAAAAAAAAAATCCTGAAAGAATTACGATTAAAAAACTAGCCGTAAAAGTTGAAATAAAAGCTGGAGTCAACATGCTGGAGGAAGGCAGGTTTCTGTAAATGCAGCCGGGGCAACATCGACAAGCACTGTGCTTTGGCCGCGTGCCCAGACTGCATTTTGAATAAACATTTCATCTCGTGCAAAGATAGCAGTGTTGCCTTTGATTTGAAGGACTTGCCTACGTATTTGCCGTCTTCTCTTTATTTATGTTTATAAAAATATACTTAAACCCTTATAAATATGTAATATATATGCATATATATATATATATAGTATTTAAACATGAATATACTCCGAGGAGGAGGGTATTTTGCTCCTCCAGACCTGGAGCAGATCACAAAGCTTGATGATTTTCTGATTTACACTAATTTTTATAACACCTCCTTGTAACTCCTATGAATTTCTCCCAGGCATTTTCACTCCAGAACTGTTTCTATCCACTGCTACCCCGCTGTTCATGGATGTCCTATGAAAAACTCACCGTCCCGGCTAGCTAATGCTTTGATAAATCAGCAACCTATTAAATTATTGCACATGGAAGGTTTCCCCTCCAGTTTCTAACTGGTTTGTGCTGTGTATGGTCTCCATCCCAGCAGCCGGAGCTGGCATCCAGCTGCCAGCCACATGAAACCTCATGGAAATTGGTGTATCATGTCTAGAAGGCCGTGTTCGTGGAACATCTGGTGCTGGTTTGCTAACACGAGGAGGAAAAATACGTTTTAATTTTCAGTGTGTGGGCTGCTCAAGCTCCTCGAAGGGAATCATTTGCGAAGTTGGCACGCAGAGGGAAAACAGCATTAAGGATACAGAAAACTTAGCAGTTTGTTTCATAAAGCTCCTCTTTCTATGCAGTCTGGTAGTGAAAGACACTGTCAGCAGAGACTGAACGCAGCAGCCAGAGTGGTACCAAAGGGACGAAACAGAAAAACAAGGATAAATGAAGATAAGAAGCTGACAAGACAGCTTGATTCTACGTGTGAAACAAAATGCAAATATATTTCTAGTTTTGTTCCACAACTGATAGCAAAAGAAAACGGGATTTTTTTTTTCCTCCTTATCTATCCTTGTTGACCCTGTCAACAGCAGAGCACACCTTCATTCCTGGAAAATAAATTCCATGTATTTTGAATAAATAATAATAATATAAAAATAATATAATATTAAACCATAAATTCCTCCTTTCTGAATAAGTTCCTTTATATATACGCTTGCTATCCCAGAGGCAAGCACCAGAAAGGTTTCCCAGCCCCATCAATACGTCACAGTAGCCCTGCGTACGTCTTCCAGATGACACTGAAATTCAAAATGATGATTAACATTTTTTTTTTGGCTTCTACATGAGGAAAAAGAAAAGGTATTCCCTTCCAAGATGATGCATTTCATCAGTGCTATCAGAAAGTCAGCCGACTGGATAGGTGATGGGATATTAACTCCTCCTGCTCACTGTAAATAAATATATTGCAATTGGATGATCTTGAAGGTCCCTTCCAATCCAAGACCTTCTATTTTAAATCTCTATTAGAGTATTTAATATCTAATAAATGGTATTTATTAAATAAATAGATGGCTATCAAGCCACCAGTGCTGTTTTCCTCATTTCAGTCGCTTTGAAGAAAATACCCTGGGAGCCTTGCCGAGCAGAGCGCGACGTCAGGAGGGCAGGGAGCCGACTTGTGAGCCAGGCTGAAGTGAAAGTGCTGCTTGTTTCAGGCCGCAGTAATTCTCCGATAATTGCAGCGTAATTCCTGTAACAGTTCTACGAATTCCATCCACAGGCTGTCCTCATCCGGCCTGCCAAGGTCAACAGCGTCTCTCTTTTTTTTTTTTTCAAGCGGGAGCGTACGTAAGTGTAAAAAAAAGGGGAAAACAGGAACCAGAGCTTTAACCTCCCACGCCGTGGCATCCGCGAGCTCGCCAGGGACCCGCGGGGTTTTGGGTGCAGGGCCAGCTGTCAGCATGTGCGATGGGACGGAGAACAAGGTGCTGGGCAGCAGCCAACGGGATGCTCAACGCCCGACGGGAAGCCGAAGGAGGTGGAGCACGAGGAGAAGAAAGGGAAAAAACATCACCAAGCGCAGCGATGTGGCTTCTCCTCATCGATCACGGCCAGGAAGGGCTGAAAATAAAACTCGGCAGAAGAATTTCTCCAGGCTTTGGGAAGTCTGAAAGGTAGATCTGCACAGTGTGACTTGAATCTGACTTGAATCGTGCTACTAATGATGGGAATAAAGCCTGCAGAGACTGCCTGCAAGGAGCTGTGGCTCTATCAGCCTTTGTATATCACCACCAGCATCCGAGCCCTACGCGGGACATCCTCCAGGAGACATCCCAACATCCTGCAGAAGACTAAAGTGGGTTCAGGAGGTGTTTGCTACTCTGTGCTCACTCCCTCTTGTGAACTGAAGTGGACATGAAAGTGTCTGTACATCCAAAATGACCTTCCCTGGAAGGGTTTGCCCCTTAACCATTACCAAGGAACCAGTAAAAAAGCAGAAAACCATGAAAAGACACAAGAAAAAGCAGGACTTTTTGCGTGTAGGCAATGCATGCTTGCTGCAAAGGACATTCTCCATCCATCTGCAGTGCTATGAGAAACCACCCTGCCATTCCCCTAAACTTTTGTTATGCTCTGGCTGCCCAAAGAATTGGTCAAAAAGATTTAAAAAACAAGTGTGAATGACATAACTTTAATAGTGTGTGAAGATTACGAGCGAAGGAAGTACCCACACCCAAAGTGAGACTTCACAAAAGCCTCTGAACTGGGTGGAATATTCTGCCACACGCTAGACACGCAGAGAAAAAAAATTCAGTTTGTTTGAGGCAAGCTGAGTCAGCCTTCAGGAATTTTATTTTTGTTGGTTGCTGGTGAAGAGCAGCAGATTGGTTAGCAGGACTGCCAAAGGTGACAGCTCAGCATCGCATGCCTCGCAGGGGGAGAAAAAATAAATAGATTATGAGCTCTTTCAGAGCTTCCTGTTTTCTGAACAGGATTTCTCGGTTCGGGCAGCTGTTTGATTCAGCTAGCGCTGCTTGTTTTAAAACACATCATTCTGTGGGACGGGAGAAGGGAGGAAAAGGAGTTTTCTTTTTATTCTTTCTTGAATTACATAAAAATGTGTTGTGTTTTTTCCCAAGCTAAACATATAGAAGATGTCTCTGGCTTATTTTGCAAACGAGCCATAGACATTACAAACCCAACTGGGCTTACCCAAACAAGTAAAGAATCCTTATCAATCTTACGTTGGTCCAAGCCTCATTTTAGTTAAATTCTGTGTAATGTGGATGAAATTTTCAAAAGTGTTGGAGCGACTGAGGATATAGTGAGACATATCCATGCAATTGAATTGAAGAGGTGCAGAATTAACCAGCTGATGAAATGCAGTGGTGGTCCTGTTTGCTTCCAATTTCACTTCGGTTCTGCTCTGAATTCTAGCTACTCGTGCAGAAAGACAAGGTGCAGACAAGTATTTGGTGGACACCAAATTCTTTGGAGAGGAATATTAACACTGCTCAGAGGAAGCCAGCCTGATTTCCAAAGCCTTACACTGACGTGGAATGCATCAAATTTTCATCTCGACTGCCCAAATCGATTTGGAAAACGGGCTTAGCTTTCCTGATGACTTTCAAAGCAATCTGCACATAAACTACTCGTGAACAGAGGATGTAGAGTCAACATTTTTCCTAAATATTCAGGAAAAAAAAAAAGGAGCCTTTCATCCCAATAGCTCAGCTAACATCCTAAACTCCTAATGAAATTTCAAAGAAACACGCAGACATATTTTTTCTTTTCAGGAGATGGAAAATAAATGTTATGGCACTCGTCCAAGGCCAGAAAATCAATCTAAAGTAAACCCAGCAGCAGAACCCAGCTTCCCAGCTTCTTGCATTAAATTCAGGAACATGCTTCAGACAAGTTAAGCTACCAGAAGATTTTTCTGGTTAGCTGAAGGACCAAAGGCTACCAATTTTGGTTTCTACTCGACACGAAGTTATGAGTTGCTACTGGAAAAGAGTGACGTGGAGACAAAGAAAAGGTTTACATGCTGGAAACCGTACCAGGTGCGAGGAGCCGTTGTTGGTCACCGAGGGAAGACTCGCCCAGCGCTCGTTTTCCAGTTCTTCCATCACTTGGTTCATTGCACTTTTTAGCCACGTGTCCACAGAGACGCCGATCTGCTTCAGCAGGTCGAGGCGGGCTTCTGCTTTCAGCTTAATTATCTGAGGAAAGAAAGAGGCAAAAATCAGAACTCGTCCACGATTACATTTCACTCCTCGCCCCGTTTCAATTACGTCCTTTCCGGATCCGGAGATTACTCGGGTGGCTCAGAAAGCTGCTCCAAGCAGAAACGAGTCCAGTTCTTCATTTCCTTGCCTGCAGAAACGCGGCGTGAGGCCAAGAGGCAGGGAAGGGCTTTCTAGAGGTGTAAAACTCCAGGCATATCCCATTTCACAGGGCGGTGTTTTCACCAAAACACCTAGTTCCCACTAACTTCCTATTCATCTATAGGGTGGTCAGTTAGTTTAGATGATTTTAGAAGTGCAAAAACCCCGACAAGACCCAGGGCTTCAGGAATATTTTTAAAATCAGGAATTCTCTTGGGCTGCAAGCCCCCAGAGCTGTTCAGAGCACACAACCGCAGCTCGCACAAACCCCAAGGGCGGCAAGAAGGCTGCTTTCCAGGGAGCTTACTGGTTATGGGAGCAGCCCATTTTAATACCCCCCAAATTTTAATCAACCTCACACTTCGCCAAACACTTTCATGATTTTGTCTTTGTGACAGAGCGAAAAAATTAAGTTTTCTGACAGCTGGGTTCACTTGAGCATCCTGGCACGCTTCCTGGCCAACAGAGCCAAGGCTTTAATGAATTCATGGTAAACAACGACCCCGGTCCAAATTGTTTGACAAACCGAAGGAACGGGAACGGTAGCACCGAGAAACACAGCAGATTTTTCAAAGAAAGCACGAGGCAAACCTGGGGATGAAATTGAGGATCTTGGTATCTCGTCCAGCACCGCCACCATCGCCCTGCTGCCCTTGTTCATCAGAGGAAGAAAACTCAAGGGATTTAGCAAAGGTCTCGCAGTGAGTCACTGTAGAGGCAACAATACCAGCCCACCAAACCGCCTGGCAGATTTTCCTGCGTTTCCTTTCACAGCATTGTTCATTTTTAGCAAGTTTCGGTGCAAGCAGCAAAGTTTCAGCCCCTTTTTCGCCCCCGGAGCTGGGCAGCATCGTCCTGCAGCACCACTGCAATCAATGGGGCGCGTCCCCAGCCGCCCCTGGAGCCCAAGGAAAACCAAACTCCAGCAAAATAGTTGGGTGTAAATAAAAATGAGAGGGAAATTACTTTTCCTGGAGTGCAGCAGACTAGGTAGGAATATATTTACAGTGCATTCGGATGTTAATTGGTGCTCCAGGGATGTCTGTGTCCCTTACGCATCCGAAAAACCTTCACTAGATGCAAAATTTGGTGGTGTCCTGACGTGACACCGCTGTTTTTCTGGGTTTTGCCAAGCTGCTGCTCTTTACCACTGCATTTCTATTAAGACAGGTCAGAAAACAAATGACTAAGTCTTTAGGTATGACTTTCATCCAGCTAGCCACCTACCCGTGGGGCCCTTTTCCCTTTGAAACTAACAGCACAGGTGGCTCTAAAGCTGTTTCAAACACTGAAACCACTTCTGCCAGCCACTAGTTATAATTCTGCTTAGAATAAACGTCATTTTTAGAAAAGCAGAGAAGCTAAGAGCAGAATTTATTATGTGGAATGCACCTCTGTATGCACACACAAGCTCTCCCGTGAAATCAGGGAGGGACAGCAAAGGATAGGGTGCGTTTCGGGAACGTTTCCCATGGGAAAGGCCACGGGCACTTGGCCGTGAGTTTCCACTTCTCCATTCGAGCAGCCTTCAGGTGAATGATTAACGTGTACTGCAAACAGTGCTCATATAACCGAGAAAATGAGAAAAAAATAGAGTAATACACACCACGCTGCTTCAGCCAAGATTTAGGAAACACCAAGTTAAAGAGAAGCGACGTCCAAAGAGTGACCCATCTGTCTGCGTGCACATTAGAAAGAGATTCAAAGCATCGAGCTGAAAACCTTGCAGTTTAGTAGGGCCCAAGCTCTGGCCCTGACTCTGTAAATATTTACAAAAGCGATACCTATGGGAAGGTAGAAAACCAGAAGTTTTAAATGCTTTTATAGCTTTGTGTGCCAGGATGAGTGGAATGGGCCTTTTACCCCTCTACCGCTCTCAGACAGGCAACCTGCTGCTCTTTTTTCTTTGTTTTGCTTTCTTTTCTTTTTTTTTCTTCTTTTTTTCTTTGTTTCCTTTTTTTCCTTATCCTAGAGTTTGTAGATTTTAAAGCTGCAAGGACAGGGAAACAATTATTTCAATTAACCACTAACCTTTCTACTTTTTTCATGTTTTAGGTATGCTTACCAAAATGAGAAGTGGATTTCTCCCTAAACGAAGCCAAGCAGAGACTTTTAAACCCGAAGTGTGAGCACAGAAGGGTTGCACCAGAAAAGCTCAACCCGGGGATGCCAAGCGTTGAAGATTTGGAACAAAACCACTTTCTAACCACTTTTTCTTTGAGAGAAGGGGGATGGGAGGAGGGATGCTGCGGCACTGAGTGAAGATGAGCATTGCTCCTGCCTCACTGGGATGCTCTTGGCTGCCTGTGGCCCAGCTGCCAAAATTAGAAATGCTGAGCTGAAACCCCAGGCAAAGCCAAGAAGCATCGTGGCATCTGCCTATCAGCAGGCTCACGGGGCATTTGTGGTGCAGAACAACCTGCTAAAAGGCTTGTTTCATCCGGGGCTGGTTTGTTACCGCGGTGGGGTTGGTTTGCAGCTCCTGGGGGTGCATCACCCTCTCATCGTGCTGAAAACCTGTGATAGATGGACTTAATGCAGGATAATGCAAGTCATTTGCTTTTGTTTGTTAATGAGAAACCCTAATCTTACCACATTATTGAGCTGATGTGTCTTTCTCTACACATAAAGCTTTGGCACGAAGAAGCCAGCCCCAATTTGTCTTTGTTCTGCCATCACATTACGGTACAAAACCTTTTTAATGCCCTCAACAGAGGCTGCGCAGGAACTACCAGCCCCGTTGTTGTGCCGTTTTACCTCGTTATGCAATTTCCAATTCGCTCGGGTTATGCAACAGCAATAAACATTCGTCTCGGCGTGCTGTAAACATTTGTGGATCGTATTAGTCCGCTGCGAGCCGTGTTGTTTGGAGCAACTTGTTAGCTAAAATAAACAGGCTGCTCCCAGCCCCTTGACTGGGCTTGCTGGGAGTCAGACGAGAAGTTTTTAATTCATGGTACCGGCGAATCCGATCGGGTTCCTTCCCCCTATTTACACGCAGCTCCCTTAATCTTCAACAAACGCCGCTTCCAAACCACAAATGTTTTGGGTTTCATTCCACTGCAGGCACACCATAAAAGCACTGACAGCGCCGGGTCAGGCCTGCACTTGAAAGATGGATAACGCTATTTATGAGCCTGGATATGGATTTTTTTTTTCTCCCCCGAAATAATTACAGCGTTAGACCCAACTTAACAGCTTCCTACCTATCCATGTAGGTGTACCCATGCACACAGATGTATATAAATATCTATAAAAGCCAGATGGTATTAAAACTTCATTCTGCTTCTCACACGGGAGCAGCTACAGATTAAAAACACAAGTGCTCCACTCAAATATCATCATGTCCAAATTAGCTGGGGCTTGGTGCTTTTGTTATGCCGGAATAAAAATTAAATTACAGGGGATGGTGTGGAGGAAATCCTGGAATTGCTCCATACCAGCTCGGGTGCTGCTTTTTCTCCTGTGCCCAGCCCCGAGATGCCTTTGCCACGAACTGCAGCCCCAAAACCTTCGACGAGGCAGGGACCCACCTTGCACAACATTTGCTCTTGGCTTTGATGTGGGAACGTAGCCAGAAGCCACCGCAGCAAAATCTGAAGAGGCACGGTGCTCTTTCCAAGAAATGAGTGAAGGAAGCCCCTGCGTGCTAGCATACCCCGAAAAGAGGATGCAGCAGCTCTCAAAGCCTCAAAAAGGGCATCTGCTTCTAGATAACAACTTCAGGCATTGATTTTTTCTCTCCGTGAGATGGAGCCCAGCAGACAAGCACGTTGTCCGCCCTTCTGGACCGATCTCCACCGACAGAAGCTTGTAAAATATTTTTAAAGAGCGTTAAAAACGAAGAGCTTACATCCCCTGCAACGCGAGGCTTCTTACCAGGAAGGCAGCTGAGTTTCCAAAGCACTGCAACGCCGAAATCCAGCACTCTGAGATCTGGACCCTGCCCAGATTTCCTTGTTATTAAAGCCTCACTGCAGGACAAATATTTTCCTACTTCCCAGCGAAATTGCTATTTACTGGGACTATTTACCAATTACCGTTTAATAGCTGAGGACTAGAACACGTTTGCACTGATTTAATAACTGTCAGCCACCCACCACGTTTACAAACAGCGGTCTGGGCGGTTCCCACTTCTCCGAGCTCTTCTTTTGCCTTAGCTGATGGCAGGTTGTAAGATGATGAAAGGGAAAAAATAAAAAGAAACAACATTTAATAAAACCATAATTATCTGTTTCTCACATACCTGTCATTGCTCTACATGGAAGAGGGAATAATTTTGTTTATTTACCGTTCCAGTTTTAATTAAGAAAAGTCTTTAGACCTACAGCTTGCATAAGATGAGGAGCAACGACTGCTTCGGAACTGATGGAGACCAAAAGCAGCAAGATTACAGCGCTGCACACCATGGGCTTAAGTCTTAAACAACTTATGAAGGTGTTGGGGTAAAAAGCAAACACCGACATCCACCAAAATTGATCCGATGAAGTTCCTGGTCTATGATGGTTGGATTCTTTTTGAATGGAGCTGCCGAGAAGCAGAGTTGCTTCATTTTCCGTGATTTTTCAGAGGGAACAACAAGACCGTGATGCTCATCAGAGAGAGCTCCTCTCCCTGCTGCCACAAGTAGAGATTATTTTTTTAGATATAGGCTATACTTAAAATATGTACAAACATTTAAATCGAGTGAAATTAGGATTACAAGTAGACCTAAATGATTTTTCATGAGAAAGATCTTATTCTACTGCAATATTTTTCTACGGGCAGGAAAAAATCATTACCTAATTAGACAGCCTCATGTTTTAGCAAATTGCTTTAGCTAAGAAGTAAAACAC